TCCCTCTAGCAGAACAATCGATAAAAAAGCGGCCTGATTTCGGCAGACTGGGGTAGGAATAGTTCGATAGTGCCAAAAACTACAACACAAGCTAGAAAACTACTAAGAAACAAAAAAACCTAAAAAACACTACCAAACAAACGACGAGGAAAAATAACTCACCAGAAATACTAGAAGCCAGAACTATGGATTAGCTTTTGAATATTAGTTGTTCGCGGTCATTCAGAGGTGAGCGCGCTAATACAAAGGGATTGGAGCGAGCTATTTTACGACCCGGAGCCAGTTTCAAGCCAAACACTCGAAAAGTACCCCTCACTTGAACACCCATAACTTCTTTGAGAGTAGAGCTTTCGGGGAGGGGAAAGCAGGAATGTGGAGCACTAGGTTGGCACTTGTTAAATGACTTTAAGCGATTCAAAAAATGTCCTTTCAAGACAATTTCTGCGTTGTGGTCCTGTTCTGATCATGGGGGAGGGTAAACCACAAGTCGCTAGGCTTTGAACATCCATGGCAAGCTTCATACAGGGCCTTTCGTAAAAAGAAAAGCAGCGAATGACGAAGCTTCCTACTTTCCAGCAAGACTTCATTTTATCCCTAGGCCTGCTATTCGAAAAAATCCCCCGTTGTGATCACAGCGTGATCACTGCCCCACGACACGAAAAATCAACCCCTCTGACGCCATAAACCTCCAGTTGGCTTATTTTGGTGTGTACTAACGCATGTTCTTCGCGCAAGGTGTCAAAGGAGTAACCTCGTCATCCGGGCAGTTGATTAGGGCGGTCGTCAACGGGCCGCAGCGCGTGCCAGGAACTATTTGCTTTTTCCAGGCTAATTTAGTCATTTTTTCCACCTTGTGAAGATAAGGAGCTGCTAATCTGGGAAAAGTAGCCAAAACAGTGAAAAGTTGGAAAAAATGACTAAATTAGCCTGGAAAAAGCAAATAGTTCCTGGCACGCGCTGCGGCCCGTTGACGACCGCCCTAATCAACTGCCCGGATGACGAGGGTACAATTGGGTGCCACATTGGCATCCTGCTGTAAATGCGCCATGCATAGCGCGTTCCACCCAGCAGCTATGTATTGGGAAGGTGCAACTTCCAGAAAGGGCTTCCTCCTTACAAGTAGATGTGTTTCTGCGATAGAAAGGTCCGGAAGCGTATTTTCATTCCCAGGCCAACCAAGCCTTCTTTCTTCCGGGAACTGCAAATTGTACCAGATCCGTCTGGGAGGATGAAACTCTGACTTATACATTGGCTGGCCACCGCAACCGCATCGCATTCAATGAAGCCACTGCGATTCTGAATGGAAGTAGATGCGTGGCGCATCCCACAAAGGGGTTGTTCAACGGCGGAAACTTTATCCTTCATCCTTTTTTAACTCATGACATCGTGTGGGCGGCCATAGCATTTCCTGTCATCGCCCCTTCCCCTTTTCTCCGCTGGCTTGCTTCTGTCTTGCGTGGGTCTCTTCACGGATCTTCACATGGATAAATCTTTCATCATTGAAGCTGAACGACATCTGGGTATCGTTGCACTCTCACCTCAGAAAGATCTCCCTACTTACGACCCCCTTCCTCCCTCGAGGTCAAATACGACCCCCTGTTATGATAACAATAATGGCGTACCCTGGGTCAGAGTCTTACTCGTCATCCACAACAAATCTTACCTGTTTTCTTATCCCGCTGTAACGGAGCGAGACCCGAACCTACTAGTTGAGTGACTTTTAACCTGCTAAATGCTGGTGCCTTCAGCAAGCGGGCAAGAGGAGCTTTTCACGTGGTCGGTGTGGCCTCGCACCAAGGGCCGGACTCCCCCTTGCAGCCTCGAAATGGGAAACTTTGAGACCGAATTCTGGAAGAAGAGCAAAAGTGGGTGTGGCTAGAATAAGACTACCTTAGTAGTATCGAAAGTCCAGGTGTACACTAATTAGAGATCGGCTGCACTGTATAACAACAGAAGAAGGGTCCGACTAACTCTTGAACTTTATCCTTACCATTTTGCCTTGATAACCACAGATTGTGGTGAAATTCAATACATTTTCTGTTGTTACAGGTGTACTAGAGAGATAAGTCCCTTATTTTAGTGAAAAAGAGGATAAATGCAACTTTCGACGATGGTTGGTCAGGGTGGGATAAGTCAGGAGGGCGATTTCCTTTGGACTGGGGCGAATTGCTGGATGTGTTGCTTACCCATTCGAAATTTTGCAATGCCTGTCTAGTAGTCTCCCTTGTCTTAGCCATAAATTGCCTAAAATAGGGGAAGACAATGCCTTGGTGGTTTCTGAAAGAAGAATCGACTGGCGCCTCTAGACCTACTCTACCGGGGCCGTGCTCTGAAGCCATCCCTGCCTGTGACAAGAACTTACAATAGCTGATCCTACTTTACGAATTTGTCACGTCTTACAGTGCTTACCTGAAGCATTCCGAACACGGATGGTTCCATTGTCCACATCTTGCTGTATATCTCATTTTTATACTCCTTCATGAACATATTACGCGGATCCGGTGGGGTTTTGATAGCCTTCGTGGTCAACTTTAGCCCAGTCTTGTTTTGCTGATCTTCATCCAATATCGGCATTAAGACTGTCTGAAATTATAGCGCTGTTTACTATTGAGTATCTAGAACAATTCTCCATGAAGTCACTAATCATTTGTGGACGTCGAACCACTGACGTATTTGATTTGATCTTTGGCGTAACACTGCGATTTTGGGGTGCCTCTCATCTCTGTCGTTTTTGATGGACGTACTGATAAGTGATGCGCACTGGTACAATCACCGTGGAATCTACTTTGAAGGTCCACGTTCACTGGAGACCCATTTCCTTCCGGTGATGAACCAGGAAAATGCACTGAATCAGTGCATTCCATGTCCTTTGCAATGGAGGGTCACCTCATTTTACCGACTGGTAGTGCACCCATTGCTAGGGGATGGATCAAAGGTATATGATCAAGGCATACACCCATTTCTTCTATTCTTTTTTGATTTCTTTCTTCTATTTGGCGTTTCCTAACACGCGCTGAACATTACTCGCCATGATGTGGAGCCTTATCCAAAATATCTTCGGAGGGAGCTCAAAAACGGTACTCGGTGGTCGAAACCAACCCAGTGCAGCCACTCTCATCTAAGGATCGATTTTGGCTTTTCTGTGAAGACTCATAAGACTCACGACATCGTGACCGGCCTCCGTTAGGGTGTCAGCAAGGGTGCCCATGAAGTTCGTATGCGAGTAACCGTATATGGGAGAGTAGACGAGGAATTTGTAGGACTCAGCAGAATGTAGTGAGATCGTCATCAAAAGTACCCAATACGCGTCCATGTCTGAAAAATTAAGAGGGTAAAGTGCTACTGACTTTGTGTTGTGGCACGGCAATGTGTCGATAAAGCTGTAATTAAAGTTGTCTCACTGCACAGAGGAGAGGTTCAGAAAGGCCATGATACTCTTTTATAGGGGGGGAGGGGTAGTGCTCGCAACTGAGTCAAGATTGGGTCAGAACCAATAAGTGTGGCATAGGTTAGCCGAGTGACAAAATAATGGACCTCAGAGAACTAAGGCACTTATGAAGGTCAAGCCACTACTCCCCATCCCTAACGACACAAATAAATACCACCTCCTGATTGGGATCCTCACACGCGCCTAATAGCCATAATACAGTTGATCTAAAGATCAGCAGTAAAAGTAGTGAGAGGTAAATACGGACCATGACGGTGAAAAGCAATGAATATTCCACCTATTCCTGAGAAAGGCGATCAATCAAGGCAAGACTCAATAAACGTAGTGGTCGACGAACTGCGGATCAAAAACTGCAGTGTCCGCATTCATTTATCACGTAGCTTCTTATGCAAAGAATCGTACGTAAAGGCGCTAAGCAATTACTCGGACTGCTTTGTGCATGCACAAACCACAAACAACGCAATGAAGTGTTTCTGAGCATACGAAAAACCGCTCACAGTTCAATGTTCATCGGAAGCACTGGAAGTCGTAATTGAGGCGAATCCACTGAGAGAACAAAGAATTCTTTTTTATGTTGAGACAGGCTCTTATCGCTGACTCCACACACTCCAACGCGTATCGCCGGCCCTCAAACTCCAACTTGTCACAATTAACGATACGCACGTAGCGGACCCTTGAGTATCGAGTTGCGCTACTTCGCGCTTTCTTCTGACACATGGCCGCTCTGAGAGAGACGTTCCCGGGGAATGGTGCCCTCCTCGCATCCTTATGCAATGTGGTTGGCAGAACAGGTAGTCTTAAATAATACCTGAACTCTCATCTGATGAAGCCTTATTCGATAGATTTCGATGTCGGTAGCGGACGAATTTTGCTTCATTTTTTTGCGGCATCAGGTGTTTTAGTAGCATTCAACGACGGTTACCAAGGAACTAGTATTTTGCCTACTATACGCCAAAAGCCGGAGCGGAACAATGTACTTGTAGCGAAATATATTAATAGACGAGCAGCTACACGACGCTCTTCCGATCTAAGTGAAAGAGGCTCTTTTGGCGAAGTTTTTGCGTACAGTTGGCAACAAGTCATTGCTAGTAATGGAGATTATCTTTTAGATTGACCTTGTTTAATTTCGTTTTTATAATAAAAATTTTTTTACACTCAAACGCGCATTCCTTTCCGAACAACCTAATAGATACTGTAAGACTGCGCTAATACATTGCGGAGGCGCCCACCAGCGACCACTAGCATCCGGCAGCGTTCACCAGCAGCGTCCAGGAGTGGAGAGTATGGGGCGATAGGAGGGTAGCAGACAGCTGGTAGAGTATGGGGAGATAGGAGGGTAGCAGACTGCTGGTAGAGAGTATAGCATGATAGAAGGCTACTAGCTGTCGCTACCCTCGCCTCAAACTCATCACTTCCGGACGCTGCTGGTTGCTAGTTCTTTACCTATACCTCCCTAGCCCTTGGAATGCTGCTGGTCTCTGATGGACGCTGATGGTTGCTGGTAGACGCTAGATCAATATCTACACTTTCCTAGTCGCTGTCGCTGCCGGACGCTACGAACGAGTGGTTGCTGGTGGACGCTGCCGCAAAGTATGAACGCAGCCTAACACTTACAAGGGAGATGGATCTTGGCGATTGTTGGACACATGCGCCCCTTTGCGAAGTCTGCCTGGGAACATTAATGTGTGAAGAGAAGCGAGTGTGTATGCCCTCCAAAGAAGGTGATATCGTCTTTAAAAGACAACCTGTGTACTCATCTCCGAAGACGGTCTTTGCCATGTGTCAGGCAAATGGGTCCATAGCTGCAGCTGCATGCCACATTCTTGTTCACAAATGCACAGGAACGGGGCTGAAGGGTAGTGATACGCGGGTGCCGTCTTCGTGCTCCGTCCGCGCTATCCTCAATGTGCGGCACTTGCGTCGATGATAAGGTCTTGCAGCCAAGCACTCAGCTGCTGAGAACAGAAGAGAAAGGGCGCAGACACATACCGTGTTTGACTATGATTTCGTTAGGCGTGGGCTCTCCTTACGGCA